GTGCCACAGACCTGCAGAGCCCCCCCCCCCCACGCCCCCTACACCTCACCTCTTCGTGAGTACAAACCATCGGAAGCATGTGAGGGGAGTATGAACCACCAGAAAGGACCAGAAGGAACAATTGCTGGGGCTCACAAAGGGTTGGGAAGTTTGAGTTCCACTAGTCAGAGTGTAAAACCTCAGGATCCGGCAGGTGTCAGCTGGATTACCCACAATGTACTGCTTGAGTGGTGGGGCAAAATTAGTCCCAGAGAAACGCTGCTCTGAAACCTCCCCAGAAAGGAAGCCTGAAATGATCAAACTGTTTCTAAGTACTTTTCAGGTAATTTAATTGCATTCTGTGACACAGCTCGTACTGATAGAAATGCAAATGGTCTGGCACTTCATGAGGTAGAACTCACCTCATTTGGGAGCTAATAAAGAATCATGAAGCACACTAAGAAGGCAAGAAAATATCATCCTTAATGAAAAGAGAAATTAATTGATAGAAACAAACCAACAAATGACAGAGATGGTTGACTCAAGAATATTACAACTGTTTTTTAATTATGTCCCATATATTCAAGAAGGTGGAGAATGAGCACATTAAATATAAAATGCAACAAATAAAAGAAAACAGAACTTCTAGAGATGTGCAGTATCTGAGGTAAAAAATAAAGTGGATAGGATTAATAACAAATGAAGCATTGCAGGACATCAATGAACTCAACAACACAGCAACAGAAACCATCCAAAATGAAATGCAGAGTGAAAGAATGAAAAAAAAAAAAAAAGGAAAACAAAAAAAAAAAACAAAAAAAAAAGGAAAAGGGAAGGAAAAAGGAATAAGTATCAGTAAGCCTGAAGTCCCCAAAAAAGAGAAGAGGGAGAGACAAAGATTTGAAAACGCTGTGGCCAAAATGTCTCTAAATTTGATGAAAACTATAAATCCACAGATCTAAAAAACAGAAACTCAACAAACTCCTGACACAAGGAAAATGGAGAAAAGAACACCAAAGCGTGTCATAATCAAACTGCTTAAAACTAAAGATAGGGAAAATTATAAATGCAGCCAGGGGAAAAAAGATTAGAAAAACAGCAGAAGGGGCGCCGAGGTGGCTCAGTCGGTTGAGCCTCTGACTTCCACTCAGGTCATGATCTCACAGCTCATGAGTTCCAGCCCTGCATCGGGCTTTGTGCTGACAGCTCAGAGCCTGGAACCTGCTTCGGATGTCTCCCTCTTTCTCTGCCCCTCCTCCACTCACACTGTCTCTGTCTCTCTCTCAAAAATAAATAAACATTAAAAAAATTTTTAAAGAAAAACAACACAAAAAAAATGCAAACTAGAAGACAGTAATGTAAGATCTTTAAGGTAATGAAAGTAAGGGGCACCTGGGTGGCTCAGTCGGTTAAGCATCTGACATCGGCTCAGGTCACGATCTCACGGTTCATGAGTTTGAGTCACGCGTTGGGCTCTGTGCTGACAGCCCAGAGCCTGGAGCCTGCTTCGGATTCTGTGTCTCCCTCTCTCTGTCCCTCCCCTCTTCTCTCTCTCTCTCTCTCAAAAACAAACGTTAAAAAAGATAATAATAAAATGAAAGGAAAAAAAACAAACCACCCTGTCAACCTAGAATTCTATATATCTTTAAAAAACTGTAGGCAAAATAAGACTTTTTCAGCCATACATGGAAAGATTTAATAGTGGCAGACCTGCATTATCATAAATGTTGAAGTATTTCAGGCAGAAGGAAAATGATAGCATATGGAAATCTGAAACCACATTAAGGAATGAAGGGCACTGAAGAAAAGTAAATAAAAAGAATGAAAGAAAGGTAAACCTCTTTAAAGGATAATTTAGTGGAGCTTCCAGCCACTGACATAATACAAGGAATGAATTTATTCTTTCATCTGAAACAACCAAGAAAAAAAAAGCCAAAATACTGGAAACAAACTTTTTCAAAATACTGGACATCAATCAGGCAGTAAAAGACGGTGTTCTCTGACAGAAAGGGAAGGAAATGAGGTGAGCTTTACAGATGGCCCCAGCTTGTTGCCTTGAGAGAGTTCCCAGGCCACAGAGCTGAGGGGGTGGAGCTTGGAGGACTCCCATGTTGAGAAGCAGAGCTAAGAGTCTGAGTAGATCAGCTTGGTTAGAGTTTGTAAGACAGTGTCCCAGGGAAGAGTACGTTACATGGACGGAGAACTCCAGAGAACCAGAGATGGTCTACCTGGTTACTTAGAGCACTAATCACCACATGCATGTGAGGAGAGTATCTGAAATGAAAGAAACACCCAAAAAGATTAGAGGGAACCACAAGGATAAGAAACATGAAGAACCAGACCAATATATATCACAATCAAATTGTTCAAAATCAGTGATAAACTCTTAAAAACAGCAAGAGTAAAAAACCAAAAAATTAGATGTAGAAGAACAAAGATAATAACAACAGATTTCCTGTGTGAAATAAAGTTAGCAAGAAGATAGTGGAACACCATGTTTAAAATACTGAAGAAAAGGGGTGCCTGGGTGGCTCAGTCGGTTAAGCATCTGACTTTGGCTCAGGTCGTGATCTCACAGTTCATGAGTTCGAGCCCTGCGTCGGGCTCTGTGCTGACAGCTTGGAGCCTGGGGCCTGCTTTGGATTCTGTGTCTACTTCTCTCTGCCCCTTCCCAACTTGTGCTCTGTTTCTCTCTCTCTCTCTCTCTCTCTCTCTGTCTCTCAAAAATAAACATTAAAAAAAAAAGTTAAAATACTGAAGAAAAAAATGTTAAGCAAGAATTTCATAACCAGTGAAAGTATCTTTTCAAAATTAATGCAAAATATAGGCTTACCTAGACATATAAGCTGAAAGAATCCATTGCCAGCAGATTTGTACCGGAATTATTTAAAGGATGTCCTTTGGGCAGAATGAAAAGGATACCAGAAAGACGTTATCAGCAAAAAATAACTGCAGAGCACTGGAAGTGGTAACTACACAGGTATACATATAAGATTTTTTCGTCATTATTTGATTTAAAGGAAAGCTGACTTTAAATAAGAGAGTAGTGGAGAGAGGGAAGATGGCGGCGTAGGAGGACGCTGGGCTCACCGCGCATCCTGCTGATCACTTAGATTCCACCTACACCTGCCTAAATAACCCAGAAAACCACCAGAGGATTAGCAGAACGGAGTCACCAGAGCCAAGCGCAGACGAGAGGCCCACGGAAGAGGGTAGGAAGGGCGGCGAGGCGGTGCGCGCTCCACGGACT